CCAGGGAGGTGGTGGAGTCACCATCCCTGGAGGTGTTCAAAAAACGTTTAGATGTGGCACTTCAAGACATGGTTTAGTGGGCATGGTGGCATCAGGTATACGGTTGGACTTGATGATCTTTGAGGTCTCTTCCAACCATAATGATTCTATGATTCTGTAACCTGACTTATTTTTGTAATTTTTTCCCCTCAGTTCTCAAAATTTTCTTTGTTCCTAATTTTAAAATATGGATAGCATCTGAAACAGCACTAAGTAAACGGCACTAAGTAAAGTAAGTAAATGCTGCTGGAGTTCAGCTAACTAGGTAACATTTTTGGATCCGCTACTGAAGTTTTAGCAAGGCATGAAGCAAAACAAAGATTCTGAAGCCTAACCTGGTATACAATCAAGGTGGTACTTGGTATCTCTTCTAATACTGCTCACCATCAATGACTGTCAATGACTACCTCAGGAAGAACTATTTGTTTTGTTCTTCAGTAAGATATACCGTACAATTGTGCTTTTTATAAACACATATTAAAAGTCCATTATCAATGAATCTGCAAAATCTGTCACAGACATTCACTTATGTGAAGAATTAGACTGGCAAAGCTGACCATATGAAGAAATATTAAACACATTTTAGTACACAAGCCACTTTCTGCAAAACAATTTTTCTTTAGAACATAAGTATTTATATTTAACCTGTATCAGTTATGAAAACATAATGGTAATTTTTCTTCTGTTTGCTGCTCAGAAATCTGAATTATTTTGCACTTTATTAGCACCTTTTGCCTACTGTTCTAAATAGACAGCAGTGTTAGATGCAAAACGATTAAGTATTCTGCTCTTCTAACACGCCTGTCTTCTCATCTAACAGTTTAGCACCCCACCTCCCAGCCTGCAGACGGTGCTGGCAGAGCAGTTCAAGCAAACTACTCTCTGCTCCAAATTAGAGAATGACAAAGATCTTCTATTTAAATTGAAATATGACTCATTTTAATGTAACTGGGCCATGAAGTGCCCGGCCCAGGTGGCAGATTTGAGGTGAAGCACTGAGGAACGTGAGGCAAGGTAAAAATTCATATCCACAAAGTAAGGAATAATTTTACAAATTTAAACTATGGACAGACAAAATTATCTGCTTGATCATTAAAAGTGCCGTTTTTACTGCTGTGGATATCTGGCCTTATCCTCTTTAATAGGCCTCAGAATTCAGTATACAACGTAATGCTGGTTCTCATCAACAGTTTTAATCAATTTAATCAAATCATATAAGAAAAGAGTGGCCTGTAGTAATAGGTCTACAGTGATGTAACTCATGCCAACATACCTGTGCTACCAGGAAACAGAAGAGCAGGAAACTACCACTAGGAAGAAAGGCAAAGGTATTTTTTACCTGTTATACTAGCAAAAATAAGCTTGACCACAAAGAACACAGCATGTTGCTTTATTTTCTTACTGTTACCATCAAGTTATCCTAATTCACCCCATGACAACATCTTACTCCTCTGCTAAGATTATGGCAGATACACTGAGACTTCGATATTTTGGCTCTTAGCTCAGAAACGTTCAGTGAGGACATCAAACTTGTAAGCATAAGACATTTTCCTTTCAAGAATATAAATCCACAGATACATAAAATATCAGTAGCAACTTATAATCGTCTGCATGACACTGTCCTCTATTTCCTGGTACTGAATATGCCTGTATAGGCCAAATTACAATGGTTAACTTAAGCAAATCCAGAGGACCAGAAAAAAAAGACACAGATTTTGATTATCATCCTTTCTCCTAATCATAAAACAAAATAGTCTCTCTCAAATGAGTTTTTCATGATGTCAAATCAATTATGGAAATGTAAACCAGAAACTATGAACAATTTTGTCTTCAGTAGAAGACCTGTGTTTAAATAAATGTAAGAACAAGAATCACAAGATCCAAGAATGTAAACTCAACAACAATTAACACTGATTCATTGCATGACCTTGGAAACATATTCAATTTCCTAGTGTTTCGAACCTCTCAGCTTCCCAAGTACAAGGAACTTAAGAGTGCATCTCATTGAGCTATGCTGGGTGCAGAAGCACTATAATCTGCCTGTCACCAATGGCGTACGCAGCTGGTTACAGCTATATAAAGTACAGAGTGCATTTATGCTCTCACTCAGGGTTAGGCCAATTTTTTCACTGCTGTCACAAAACTTTGCATCTTACCCATTATGACTCCGTATTTTACATCATAGTCCATTACCCATATTTTGCAACAAGGTCTAATCTCAAAATAACATGAAGTTCTTCTGAAAACAGATCTGGATTTTGTTAAGTGCCTGAAAGGATGTGAGCTCAGAACTGAATTAAGAAATCTAGCTTCTTTCATACCAAATGTTTATCCCTGGTGTTCTCTAGAGCCACCTACTGGAAACACTTCCATTCTTGTCTGGAATCTTGATGGCAGGACTAGAGTAATGACAGCACAATATCGTTTTCTATGACCCCAAAAAGTGACAGCAGACATGCCACTTGCATATATAATTATTACTAATTTACGTACCCCAAAAAACACAGCAAAATCTGCCTATTAGAATTTTTACTTTGAAAGATTAAAATTAAAACAACACACACATTTAGGTTGCACACACAAAACCAGACATTTACAAACACTGGGAGTAATTAGATGGAAATTCAGTTTTCAGACTGACGTGCAATTCCTTCTTCTCTTTTTTTTTTTTAAAAAGCAAGTAAGATGCTGGTAAGAAGCCATACTGCTTTCCTAAATACAAAGCAAAAAGTCTTGCAGCCTCTATGTTATGCTACATTTCATGCAATGGCAACAAAAATAAACTGTTATGTCTGAAAGCATTGTGAAGTCCACCTAATAGCAACACATCTAGAACTAACACTACTTCAGAGCAGATTAGTTTGGCCTTCTTTGAGAATCTAACTATTGATACAAAGTAAAATTGCAATTTGCTCTTGAACTTGCCGGGACAGAACTCAAATGATGCCCTTTTACACACACAAGACTCACAGCAATCCACTAAAAATTCTGCTATCAAGTATCTTTCAAAAAAGCCAGAGTCAGTTTCCATGGTCTTGACAAACACTCCCCTGTGTTTTAAGTGTTTAATCACAAGTGGAAATAATGCTAACCTTCCATTTTTGCTTATTTCAAGGAAGGTGTCTTTTTTAAAAGATATTTAAGAGGGCAAAGGAAATAACTATGAGTGTATTTCTTGAGATGATTGAAAGCTAAGGAAAAACAGACTGATGAAATGGTGCATGAATGACTGTGAGAGAAGAAAGGTATTTAAAAACAGAAGAGCGCTGTGGAACCGACTCATGTTGAAGAAATCAGACTTCAGAAAAGAACAGATTAAGTACCTCAAGGAAATATATCCCTCCATAAGAAATTAATTATGTGCTGTGAAAGGATCAGAGCAGATGATTAACTCAACATTAAAATTTGTAATTTACAACCACACAAACTAAAAATTGAACCAACTCTTTCCACTCTTTAAAACCAACGAATATTGGTTTTGTACTTTTAAAAAAAAGGTTGTATGGAAACAAATTTTTGTTCAATTTAGCATCTGTAAAATTTTGGGAAAACACTAATATCTTACCTCTGCAACTTCCTTCTGAAAAGTCAACGTCATCTGCGTCCTGCCATAAATAAAAGGTCCATCCTTTTTGGAAACATTTTCAAGCCATTTGATGATTAGAGGAGTTGAAACACTGAAGGGCAGATTCCCAATGATATGTATATCTGGTGGCTCTGTTAACATTTGATGGAAGAAAAACAACTGTCAAAAAGTTTCGGATAAGATTTTGCCATGTTTGAACACATAAGGAAAAAAAAATACGTGCAAATCAACCTAGACTTAAAATATGAAAACAATTATCATGCCATGCCAAAATGATGCCTTTCCATTTGTACTTGTCTTACACTGACAAAAATGTGTTACTATTCTCAGTAATTAGTTGGAAAAAAGTGGCTAGATTTGGTTCTCATTTACATTTGAATAAATCGGTAGCTTTCAGCTGATTTTCACCTTATCAGTAGACCTCAGCTGAGCTACTCCAGAACAGCAGAACTGTAACAGCAGATAATAAGAACAACAGAAAAAGTACAACAGTGTTTCCATTATTTTAAACTATGACTATTAGGTACAGAGTAAATAGCCACACTCGTCCTTCTGTCCAACACCTTCCTCCCAGGGGTATTTCACAGAGTCCTCATAATCCCCAAAACAATCATCTAGCTCAAACTTGACAGGGCTCTCCTTCTGTATAGAGTCGTCTGAAATCAAAAGGTCTTAGAGCAAGTACAAGACTTAGCCATAAAAAGTGATACGTATTGTTCAATTATGGATTGTATCAGTATATATGTTGTACAACACAAAGCAGGTATTTCATTAGCACGGATCCTTACGTCTAAGCAGGAGTGCAATAGAAGCAGACAAAATGAAAGCAAGTGTGTTGTTTCTCAGATACTACAGCATTTAATAACATGAATAAGAGATGATAATATCAAATTGAAGTTGGTTTTCTGGCACACTTTACTTATTATGCACTCTTTAGGCCGTCATATTTCTGGCATATTTGTGATATTACACACGTATCAGAGATGGCTAAAGTATCTTTCTGAAACTCATCAGCCTTTCAGATTTTCATAAGACAATAATACAGAAAAAGTGCATCCTACCTCTAATTAGTTAGCTCCATAGACAATGACTTATATGTATGATCAAGAAAGGTAAATTTTTAAAAACTGCGCTACACCTTCATACATGCATTTGCTCAAAGTTTTGTTTTGTGAAGTGCTTGTCTTTTCCAATGTGGCAAATGCAGCATGGAATTTTTCAAAGTGAACATAATATGGCATGGATTTTTATGTCTTAAGTTAGAAAGCAGTTTACTGTTCTTCAGGCACTGCAGACAGTGACTCGACCTTAAAATAAGACAAGGGGACTGGGAGGTCATCTCTGATTTATCTAATAATATTACATGTTTTAAAAGGGAAGTGAAATAGAGTCCTATGAGAACCTCAGATTTGAAAGAAAAAAAACAAAACCAAATCTCCAATTAGATTCTACTTTTGCCAAAAATATCCAGCTGAAACCAAAGCAATGAGAAAACTAAATTTTTGAGGACAAATTTCCTAAAACTTTCAAAGCAAGTTACAGAAATTTCTTCAGTGGAACAGCAGCAGTGGTGGCCTCTGGCTTCTTCAAAAAGAGGGAGAAGCTGGGAAGAAAGTATACCATTTGATTTGCTTTTATTCCAAGAGTCATTATTGTACAGTCAAGACACTCTAAGGTTAATAACTGCAAAGCTCCTCACTGTTGACTGAGGTGAATGTGACACAAATTCCACTGTTCTGTCTTAGAAGAGGAAGATGATTCTCTGTTTCCTTCTAGAGAGGAAGAAAGTTAGCTCATCTCTCTCTTCTTACCTTCAAAATGTATCAGAAGAGACTAACACCTGCATTGGTGAACTATATCACCAAGCTGAATACTAACTCAGAAGCCTTAAAAACAAAATAAACCAAATCCAAATACTAACCGTCCTCCCAGTTCTTTTTTAAGTGTTTTGGAAAAGCCTTCTCCATCTTATATGTTAGGATATCTCCATGAACAATGTGCACTTTTCCTGGAGCTGCTTCAGATAACATCTGTTTATAAGCAAGCAAGCAGAATTCACAGTGAGTATTAACCAAACTGTTTCCAGTTTCAGCCACAGCAGGAAAGAATTGCTATATATTGCTATATATTTATCTTCAATATACAAAAAAACACAGTAGCAGTTAAAACTGATCATATTAGTAGTATTTACTTTCAAAAAGCAAACACTAACAAAAGAAGTTTAATGTGTGATTCTGTAAACGCTTACTATTCACAGCTGTAGAATTCTTAATAGGGAATTTAAACTTGAAAAGACTGCTTAAAAGTCTCTTTAACAAGAACAATTAACAAACCCTGGTCCACCTGATTTAAGTAATAATGCAAGCAGCAGGTTTTGAAAAGTTTTTAGATCCATTACCTGTGGAAACAAGGCTCATGTTGTTTATTCTGTCTCCCCCACAGCTGTAGAGGCTATTAGCCAATTTTAGCTATATGTGATACAAGGCTGCTGAAATATTCAGTCACTTTTACAGAAAAAAGGGGGGAAAGATTCCCTCAGTACTCCCTGTAGTAGTCTGAACTCACACCACTAAAAACCAAGGAGTTCCCAAAAATGAGGGAATGAGTACCTAGCAGTAGAGACAATCTCAAAAATTTGTATCAGTTTAGACATTACAAAATCAACTCTGTTGTCAACCTCTCTATCCCACTTCTGTAGCTTATCTAATATTTAATAAAGGCTGAAATGCAAACTCAGAACCAGCTGTGGTTCGATGACCAATTCTTTCATTTCTAGTGTCAGTTTGCACAATCAAAGTTAGTTTTTTAGTAATCTTTTCTCTTACAGAATGAAACTAGGCACAAAAAGCACACTTCAAAGGCAAAGTCAACTTTTACAAAGATGACATGTCGGGATATTTATTGTTCTTAAGTCAGAATAATGAAAAATAGCTTAAAGAACAATTTTGCTTTTGCACAGAAATCCAAATCCATAAACAGTTGAGTGCTAGTGGCTCAACTGCTGAAACAAACTGAAGACAGAACTAACAATGGTGAGCAATTTAAATCATGTTTATATGCTCAGGGGCACAAACAGCTTTCACAGGTCTCTGAGCCAAAGGAAAGTGCTGCCTTCTCATACTGTTCACAAAATGTTTGCAAGAAATTTTTTTAAGTAAAAGTTTTTTTTACCATCAAAATTGCTAAATTTTCTGTAGGGTACTGAAAAAAAAGCTGAACTAAAAATTAAATGTTCCTGTATGTTTTAAGTGCAATTATTTCCAAATAGAAAAAATTAATCTAACCTCAACTCCAAACCACTTAACAGATTTTTCAGCATTACACTAGCAATTATACAGCATCCAAATCCACTAATCTGCCATGATTTGTCAAATCTCTCTTTGAAGCTGTAATAAATGCTGTAACAGGATGAAAGACAATGTAAGATCAATAAAGTTGGAAAACAGTGTAAGAGGAAGCAGACAGCTGCCTACACAACAATGGATTAACAATGTTGTATTGTTTTTTAATAACGGTTTTAATGTCAAGAGGAGTTGGGGTTTTTTTGAGTATCACACTTAACATAAATGAGAACTGCATTTAATTTGTGAGCAGAAAAATCACAGCTGTGTATTTCTAATTTGAAATCAAGAGTCAGAAACCCACTGAAACCTTCTCCATTTTAAGGCCAATGTGCGCAGCTAACACAGTTCCATGAGCTCTTGTGCACCAACCACACAAGCCAAGTGATTCTCCGCCACAAAGATCCTCTTGCTCTTCACACATAACCAAAAGGGCACGAAGAAAACATCAAGGGCGTAGTTTTAAAAATGCAACGGTGTTCCTGGAAGAATTCTATATTCAGTTCACTCTCTGGCTGAGGGCACCCTTTCTCTCCTCATAAATCTTCCCAGCCTAACAATTATTAGGACGTATGGCATAGGGATGTTGTGATTCTTTAAGAGTGAGACAGGACTGACAGTCTGTCAGCGTGTATAAACTTTTACTCTGTACACCTATGTTCTTCACTATATTTCAGTTTTGCAGTAAAGAGTATCCCAACTTGAGTTTTGTGATAGAGACCACAGCCTGAAAAACAGTTAATGCTTTACATCAGTGATTTTGAAAGTATGTAAAGAGACATTTTTAAGTAATATTCCCCAATTGTTATTTTAATCTCTGACATTTTCTGTTATTCAAATCTCAACCCTTTTATGAGTATTTGGTTTTGATAGAACTTTTAATGGGAAACCAGAAAAAAAAAAAAGGTATTACAACCCACATTATCACAAAAGAAAGATTAATTCTGTTATGTATCGTCTTATTTGCAGGGAAAAAAACAATATCAAATTTAACACTAATGGATGAAACATATTTCTTGTTCATTCACATCCACTGTTATTGAGATATAGCATCTTTATATTCAATAACCTCATTCAGACATATTTATTTCTACTGTAAGGAGGTTGCTAATCAAAAATAATGACTAATGTTAATTCACTTGAATAATAAAGATAATTACATACTCATTATAGGCCCTGAAAGGTATACTTTTGTTCAGAGAAATGTGTTGTAGTGGTTGCATTTTGGAAGATCATAAAAATTGCCTAAGTACTTAAAAAACTCCGTTAGCTAAAATAAGTATCATTTAATCTCAAATTCTCTCCAATCTCAAACCAGTTCTTAAAATCTAAAACAAAAATGCATATTTACCCCCACCCAAGAAAAGTGAAAACATGACAGCTTCATACTTTGTAAGGTAAAGATGGCATACTGTAAATTATCAATGACTAAACCTACAAAGACAGTCACATGGACATTCAGGTTTAAGCATATGAGCAGCTTCAGTCATATCTTACATTGGTTTCATCCTACCAATGCGACCAGTTCTCAAGTGAACTACCTATTTATTTTCACTGCTGATTTACTACAGAAGACACAGTGCAATATAAGGAAAGCCCTTTGAATTGTTATAATCTGAGATTGTAGAGGCACAAGAAAATAGTCAGATCTGAAGAGATTTTGGACTCTGTTTTTCTTCCCAGATTTATACAGCCAAATTCCATAAACGTCGAAACTCAATAGCAACACAAGTAAATGGCATTTGAAAAATGCCACAATGACTTGTGAACTTATACCAACTTTAAAAGAAAGGAACAAAAGTTTAAGAGTGGAAATAAAGGAACAAAAGTTTGAGTGGGGTTTTTTTAAAATGTAAAATAAATGCTTGGTTTATTCTTCTGTATCTGGATGTTAATACACATTGAACTACTAACTGGAGACATGCTTTTTACAAACTTTAAAGCATAATTATTAGGATTAAAATGAGAAATAAAACCAAAGGACATTACGTTCAGCCTTTAAACTACTATTTCACCTGCATGGTGAAATGCACCCAAAATGTCTCAACCTGAAAAAAACAGACAGGCCTCAGCATTAACTCAGTTGCAGTATCAGGTCCTAAAAGGCCTATGAGAAAGCAGGAGCAATTAATTGCTATACTGTGTATTTGCATCTTCAAGCAAATGATGGCTCTGACTTAAGCCAAAGAAGCAAAGCTATTTTCAATGCTGAGATCTCAACAAGACACTTGGAACTTTTCTATATTCGTAAAATGTTCTTATTTAATGTTGTGGATACTTTTATACAAATTATTCTCCAGTTGGTACCTGCAATCCTGGAATAAATCGAGCATCTTTTTCAATTAAAAGGAGTTGTTTAACACCAGCACTGAGAATGGATCTGGTAATTCCTCCTGGCCCAGGGCCCACTTCGCAAACATGGGTATTTTTCAGCTTGCCAGCTTGTCTCACTATCTTGTCTGCAAGACACAAAAGGACACACTAAGCCTTTATTCTCCAGAAGATCCAGCTCACTGAGATAAACTCATTGTTTATTGTTAAAGCACAAGTGTGCTCATCTCAGAAGAGACACAAACAGTGACACATCCCAGTTAAATGATCACGCACCTGCTAGATTGCACAGATTTCAGATTTGTTTCATACTACAAGATATGCTCTACTACTTAAAAAAGACTATTTGCAGTTTAATGTCTTTAATATACGTTGTTCATTACAGAATCCAAGAAAAAGAGAATATTACTTCTCGCCTGTAAACTAGCAGTACTATTCTCCTGCTAGTAAGCACTTACGTTCAACATTCTGAAGTCTCACTACTTATCCTTATAAAGGTATTTCACTACAGTACCTCTGTTTCAAAGAAACTGAAGAAATAAAAAAGACAGGGTGAAGCTCTACCAAGACTACAATATGTAGAGAGCAATTTTACGAGGCAGGACCTGGAGTAAAGTAAGAGTTGGAATACAGGCAACTGGTAACTATAGAAAGCGGGACAGTTGAAGATATTACACTGGAAAGTGTTAAAGCCAGGGAAGAAAACAGATTAAGGATTAAAATAAGGATGAAAAATGCACCTAATGAAACAAAGGGATCCTTAGGAAGCATGGAGAGAAGACGCTGAAAGTATGCTGCTTGCTCCGTAACAATAACGTATGCAACAAAAATAAGAAATACCTGAAGACTTGTCTACTTGTAAGGTTTTCCTAAATGTATGCAGACATTTTTATTCCAGGGTTCCAGTTGTTCAGGAAGTGGAGCTTCATGTTCACACCCTAAACCTTTATCAAACTGAATCTTCAAATGTAATCAAATCATCAGCTATGTGAGGCCGCACTGCATTTATTACCGCAAAACCCAGCCACCACTGGGACAGTAAAGAAACCCACCACTGATTGAACAGTGCCAGCTTTGTCACCCATTGCTGATGTGAAGCTGAAGAAAACTGAATGGTTCAGAACAATGTAACTGGTTCAAATAAGCTATGACATTTCAGATAACTAAGACAAATGATCTTCCTAACCACAGTATATAGTAAATTAAATTGCACAATGAGTTAAAGTACTTTCTATGATACGTAATAATCTGAAAAAAATACTCATTTTTTCATCAAATCTAGAAACTAGAATAGTACCTGAATGGTAAAAGTATTACTAAGGCTTGGATTTTTGCATTTCAATCAATAACCCATATTTTATATAGCAATATGTTTTCTACCTAAAAATTAGTCTATAATTTAGAAACACATTTTCTAGGAATTTACAAGTAAAATTGATTTGTCCAAGCTAAAACTACTTTTAAAAAAAAGTCTTTAAAGGTTTACCATTGAGCCGCCATTAGTCTGCCAGATGTCATCAAGCAAACATCATCTCCTTAGCTAGAATTTGGATTCTGAAGAAAACCAGGATACATGTTTTATAGAAGCTAAAAATATTAGAATAAAATACTTAACCAGTCAATCGCAAATCCAGTAGAAAGTTCTGAGAAAGTTGTTTCTGTGCTTTAAGGCGAAAGAGTTTAATGATCTCTCCAACAGTTGGCAGGGGAGGCAGACGGGAAGCTGCTACCTTTCCTGGAACAGCCATAAGATAAAACTCTTGCTCCTTCCTCCTAGAGAGACATTGAAAAGATGGTTCTAGTATAAACAATACATTTTAATATACTTAATATCAAAAACATTACTAAGTTTACAAACCAAGCCATGATTTACAAATCATTATACAAGTGCTAAATTTTAAACATTTGACTATTGTATGCAGTGCTTATGCTGAACATGTATTTGTGGGATTTGGGCAAGTCTGGTTTTGGAGTTTTGCCAAAACTTCAGGTAAAACAAAACCCTCTCACAATTGTTCAATGTCAACCTTTCATGACTTTAGAAAAGAATCATTAACGATAATCTGCCTGAATTCACGGCATCACATAATGACAGAATATATTTAATTAAAGTGTCCCTGATGAAGAATTAAAATTTTTTATTACTGTATCACCTGCCTTTCTAAGCAGAGGTGAAGATAGGAATCTCAAGTGTAAACAATGGCATTAGCTAATTAAAAAAAAAAAAAATTCGTTTTCACTTTCAGCACAACAGGACAAAACGTTCCACCTCTCTGTGCTCGCAC